TGAATTCTTTCCAGACTTTTCTTTTTTCATAGGAAAGGGAAGCTAGTTTATTTTTATTTATTTATTTACTTACTTACTTTTTTTATTAATCCTCACCTGAGGATTACTTTCTTTTCCACTGATTTTTACAGAGACTGGAAGGGAGGGGGAGAGACAGAGAGAGAAACATTGATGTGATTGGTTACCATTCATCCCCACACGCCCCAACCAGTTGGGGCCCAGGATTGAGCCCATAACCAAGGCCCGTGCCCTTGACCGGGATAGATCCTTTGGCTCTTCAGTACATGGGTCGATGCTCTAATGACCTGTCCTTCTAAAATAGCATCCTTATTACATCTCATCCCAGTTCAGTAACCTTTGATAGTTCCATTGACGACCATATCAACAATAAGTTCGTCTGTCTGGCTTTCAAAGCCCTTCAGATCTGGTTCCTCCTATTTTCCTTTCTAATTTTGTGTTAATTTTCCTTGTCTGTAATATCATACCTGCTTTCCTCCTCCCACATATCCTCTAAGACAGTGGTTCTCAACCTTCCTAATGCCATGACCCTTTAATACAGTTCCTCATGTTGTGGTGACCCCCAATTTCACTGTTACAAATTGAACGTAATTAAAGCATAGTGATTAATCACAAAAACAATATGTAATTATATATGTGTTTTCCGATGGTCTTAAGTGACCCCTGTGAAAGGGTCGTTCGACCCCCAAAGGGGTCGCAACCCACGGGTTGAGAACCGCTGCTCTAAGATCAGCCCCAATCTTACCACCTTCATGAAACTATTCTTAACCGGGATCACCCAATCTCCCTAATCTCTCTCTCTCTCTCCTACCCACCATAGTCTGCATCATACAACACAATTCTGAACACACCCCAACCACTTGATTCTAGTAAAAAACACCTTGCAAGAAGCTTAATCTAACCTAAACTGATCAAACCTCTAGGAAATACAGAGGACAGAAGAGCATGTTAAACAACACCATGGGAATAAAATACGCAAAATTCAGACCAAGGGAAACTACAGGGTAAATTACCTGATTTTTTTTTTAAATGTTTTCATTGATTTTAGAGAGAGAGGAAGGGAGATGCAGAGAAAGAAACATCTATCGGCTGCCTCCTGCATACACTCTACTGGGGATCAAGCCTGAAACCCCAGCATGTGCCCTGACCAGGAATCCAACCGGCGACCTCTAGGTTCAAGGGACAACACTCAACAAAGTGAGCCACACCGGCCAGGGCTTGACAACATTGTTTGTTTTTATTTTTCGTTCATCCTCACCCGAGGATATTTTTCCATTGATTTTGTTTTTCTTTTTAGAGCGAGTGAAAGGAGGAAGGGATGGGGGGGTGGGGGGTGGGGGAGAGAGAAACATGGAGAGAGACACATCGATTGGTTGCCTCCTGCATGAGCCCGAGGGGTTGGACTGACCCTGCAACCCAGGTACATGACCTAGGCCAGGAATCGAACATGAGACCCTTAGGTCCAAGGGCCGATGCTCTAACCACTTAACATACTAGCCAGGGCATGACCTGATTTCTTCAACAAATAAGTTGCAGGAATGAGAGATGGGGAGATGGAGGGTGAATTTATAGACTGAGGTAGCCTTAAGAGACATGTCAACTGTTTGCCATTGGAACATTATATAGATCTTGATTAAATAAACTGAAAATTAAAAATAAATATTTAACATTTATGAGACAATTGGAAATCTGAACACTGTATTTTTTTTATATTAAGGAATTACTGTTAGTTTCTTTATACTTTGGAGATGTAATGATATTGTGATTATGTTAAGTGTCCTTATCTTTTAGAGATGGATACTAAAAAATTCAGAAATGGAAAAATACACAAATAAATAAATAAAAGCAATATATAGTTCCTGTCCCAAGTCTCATGCACAACCTGGACTGTACATTATGGCTAACAGCTTTAAGACCTACTTTAGGATCTAAGTCTGAAATTTGAAGAATTATAGTTAGATGCTAAGTATGACTGGAATAATTGATGCTATTAGGTGACATGGAAAATATGAACTTTGAAAAAGAAGACAAATCCTAAAGAGATTAACAGCTCCAAATACTTTCCAGTTTTATATTATCCCAAGCCTGTTCCCATCCTTCTTTCAGTTACCAGACTCCCTGGAAATCCTGTCTGACTCTTCCTTCTTCTTCATCTCACTCAGCCAGTCAGTTAGCTGTCCACCTATGTGGATCTGTTCTCTGCAATAGCTCTCCCAACCATCCCCTTCTCTCCTCTACACACTTGTTCATACATTTGTTCTATATACTTGTCTGAAGTACCTCTGGTATAGGCACTAACCCCTGTCCTCTCCAATTCATCTTATAGCCACGTTTTCCTAAAGCACAGCTCTTATTTTGGTGCTCCTCCATTCAAACATCTGTGGTTTCCAAATGTAGAACAAAGCCCAAACTATATACTAATAGACTCAAGGCTATATTTCAAGGACCTCCATGATATATATCATTTCAGCTTACCTTTACAATCATATTTCCCACTATTTTAATTCAATCAAATGAAACTTTTCTATTTAGTCTCGCCTCTAAGCTCCAAACTGTAACCGGTGCCTATCTGAATATCTCAAACACAGTCAATTCTATTCTACCCAAACGGAACTAATTCTTAGTCCTGCAAATCTAGCCCAGGTGATCCCTATATTATGTAAGCCAGATATCTAGGAGTCATCCTTAGCACCTCCCTCTTCCTCACCCCTAATTCACATCTACTGCTAAATCCTGTAGATTTTACTTCCTAAATCTCTCCTAAATTTCTCTTCATCGGCTCCACTACCTACTTCCTAATTGACCTACCCATATTTCTAAGGTTCCCTCCAACCCGTGCTCCATACTGAAGTTAGAAATAACCTCTTAAAAAATGCAAACTTGCCGAAACCGGTTTGGCTCAGTGGATAGAGCGTTGGCCTGCGGACTGAAAGGTCCCGGGTTCGATTCCGGTCAAGGGCATGTACCTGGGTTGCAGGCACATCCCCAGTAGGAGATGTGCAGGAGGCAGCTGATCGATGTTTCTCTCTCATCGATGTTTCTAACTCTCTATATCTCTCCCTTCCTCTCTGTAAAAAATCAATAAAATATATTTAAAAAAAAAAAATGCAAACTAATCATATCATCAATCCCCACACGCCTAACCCCCTCTGGCTTACACTTCAGAATGACTTCCCTATAGTTTAGCCCCAGTCTACCTCTTCCATCTTATCTCAAACCTGTCTCACTTTTGCTCTCTATACTCCAGCCACACTGATGTATTTGTGTACCTCATACTCAGCAGGTTCTCCCCCAGCAGGCTCTTCTCACTCCTTGGCTTACATATCCTTATCCTTCAAGTCTCAGTTTATCATTATTTCTTTAGAGAAGGCCTTCCCTGACCTCCCTACCTAGGTCAAATTCTCCATTACTCAAACTCAGAGCGCCAATGTCCTCTCAGCCCAACCATACTTGTTACTTGACATTTTTATTTGCATATGAAGAAGGCAGGAATAGGCACAATAAGCTAAGGGAGGAGGGGGGGAATGCAACAAAACCGGAATTCTATGACAAATAGAATTAAAGAGACACACCATCAAGGTGGAACTAGGAAGAAGTTGGCAAGGAAGTAGCCAATAATAGTGGGACAAGGCAGTATTTTGAATGGTTAAGCGATGCCCATGGATATCCTGAGAGGTAGCAGAATGCCCAGGACCACACTCACTTATGAGCCTGAAACATAGCAGAAAGAATTAGAGAACCCGGGGGAAAATAAAGAAAAAAATGATTATAAATCAGATTTCGGGAAAGGTTAGGTGCATGTGAGCGTGAAAACCGAAGTGCCAAAGCAGGAAGATCTAATAAAGCCTATTTGGAGGGCACGGGAAGAGAAAAAAAAAAAAAAAAGATGAGCGTATTGAAGGTACAACAATAGGGTGGTCTGTCTTTAAAGGGAAAGACTATGAAAAGTAGAATGAGTGATGGAAACGGTACCATCTGGTCCTTTAAAAAGTATCACGGAAGTGGAGTGGGTAAGGAGCCGAACTTGAATCCGAAGAGATGTTTATGGAGGGGGAAGGTGAGGGAAGGCACTGACTGGCCCCCGGGAAGGCGGGAGGGATGGGGAAGCGAGGCGCCCGACTCAAGCTGCGCTGGGAGGCACTGAGCGCGGGCCGGGGGCGGCGGCGTGGGCCCCGAGCTCCCTCACCTTGGCCTTTGTAGCTGGGCAGGTTGCAGAGGATGTCCGTGCGCAGAGCCTCCTCGGTCAGTCTTGCGGGCGAACAGGTTCCGCCATACCTCGGCTGTCTCGCC